GATGTGCTCCATTCCTGCAATTGGCCCTTGCAAAAACACTTTACTAATATTTGCCTGTCTCCTAATGCTTAAAGGGAAAAGATCTAGGTACACCCTCCTCGGATCACCAAGCTCAGACCGACCGAAGGCGAAGCCGACGCGGCTGCGAAGCGGGCCCACGAGCGAAGCGAGTGCGTGTACGCAGTGCGCAATGCATTGGGCTGCGTGACGCACTAGTCGGCTCAGTCGTTCGGGATTAGTAGGGATGTTGGCGTCAGGTCTATTACCTTGATTGATATCTGGACGCTGCTATAGGAATGATCCAATATCGATATAGCGAAATCAACTTCTATAACACTCGGGGCCTATCACTTTTGGTGGCCCGGCGCCATTATGCCTACAATTCTTCGCGAAGCGTCCAGGCGAGCGCAGCGATTCTGCTAAACGAAATATATTGACACTCGATTCAAATCTCTGTGGGTTGCACGGTGTCACCATGCCCACCTGACGAGCGAAGCCAGGCTACTTTTTGTGAAACGCATGCCGCACCATGCCAGGGACGAGCGCAGGGAGTCAGCCAACCGGTTATGACCGGTGCGTTTATCGGCTCTTGAGGACGAACAGCGAGCGCGTGCGGAATGCCGACGCGCAGCGACATTTAGCGCATGGAAGAAGCACATACAAGACGCGCAAGAGCAAGCGCTTGTGGACAAGTTGAAGCGGAGGAAGGCGACTGCTGCCGCCGTCAAGAAGGCTAGACTCGAGCGTACGCATCTACAGTAAGCACTAGAAGGCTCTCATGCGCTTCAACTTGCTAGCGCAGACCTGCTGGCTTCGCCCACCTCCGCAACCAGGCCGCCCGTACAACGTTGTGTGAATAAGGTCCCTCCCTTGCCAATTGATCGTGCCGCCTCGATCGCAAAGCCACACCTATAGAGTACCGAGTCGAGTCGACGTGCTACGGGATGCTGCCGGCCGCACGACAAGCCACCCGCCGCCCTCCTGGATTTCGATGCTTCCTGCGGCACTTAAAGGTCGACTCGAGGCCTCAGCAGCCCCGCGAAAGAAAGGTACAGCGGTTGCCGCCGGCGTCACGTTAATACCCGCAGTACCCACGCCACCTCCGCGCCCAAACCCACGCAAGCGCGTCGACACGGCAACTCTGACATGCACCCTGCTAAACGGCCCCAACAAGTCGAGTCGGACCCTGAGCCCGAGCTGGAGACTGCAGGTGGAATCGACTCACATCCGGACTTGGTGCCTTGGTGCCCCCTGTGGTGCGACGTGTCACCGCTCGACATGACGCAACTTTGCGCCTGCGCTTGCACCCGCTACGTGCGCCGTCGATGACGAGTTCAACGAGGACGCCAAGAACAACGATGACGTTGAGGTCGACTACGACGCCGACAACGTTCAGCCGCCGAGATCGACGACGACGATGGGAACGCCAAGAACGAGCTAGCTGTAATGATGAATTAAGTGGCCATTTTCATCGGTGACGACGTCTTGGACGAGGAGGACATCACCGAGGTGCGCACTACACGCTGTCCACGAATCGCATGCTGCTCAATCAACGACCTTCTCGAGGTCGACGCTCCCAACCACAAGGCAAGGTCCGCCTCATGCCGCCCAAGTTGTACAAGTTTGACTCATTTTTATATTTTTGTGATCATTTACGATGTGTTACGAAAAATCACTCCTCTCGGTGCTGCCACAACGGCAAGATTGGCGACGAGCACAAGTGCTTACCAGATCGTCGCCAGCCTCCAGCAAGATAGAAAAATCATTCTCCTTGCTGCTGTAACAACGCCGACGGAGTGTACCATCCCCAAGAACCTACAATAAGAATTACGTTCACCATTAATGGGGCTTTGTACCACAACTTTAGGCGTCTGGACCCGACGGATGCAGAAAAAACCGCGGCTGCCTCATCCCTGCGCGGCAGATCAATTTTAAGAGTGGATGCTGCTGACATTCGGGACGCACGTGCAGCAACCAAATGATCCCGCTACCCAGGCACTTTCGTTGCTCCAATGCCTACTGCATACGCACAATGAGTGTGGCGGTAGGGCCACAGGGCTTACCCTAGTACAATCATAATATGTGAGACGTCAGCCTGTCGGCGCTCTGGAACCAGCTCACGTCATCGCACCGGACGTCCGCTAGCATCGACACCTTCCTCTAGTGTATCAGTGGTGAACGCCGGTAGTCGGCAAGGGCGCACAGGGACGCGGACATCTCCACCAGAGCATTGTCTTTGCGCCAAAGCATCAAACAGACCTCTTGTTACGTGTTGGTCGCTGATTACCCGACAGAGACACCATCGGAAAGAACTCAACACGTCGTGTCGTGCAAGCGGTGTCACCACGTTCGACACCCAGTGGCTTGACCGACCTGCTACGACCGTTTACGCGTTTAGGTGTGGCCCATTGCTAAGACTAGCCCCATGGTTATTTCTATAGCGCACGTGGCCAAAACGTTGACCAGGACCACGACGGCGAAAGCTACTCCGCCCCTCCCAACCGAGAACGCCCGCAATTCCTGTTTGACTATTGAACGTCAGTAACGACTTCTTCGTAGCATCCAGCACCTGAGATCCGACTGCTCGACGCCATCTACCCAAGTATGCCGATTTCGTCTACCAAATTGGTGCTTCGCGCCGTCAAGCCCTCAACTCACATGTACTGGCTTGGCGGGGCCAATCAAGCGGGCAGCTTTTGTTCGAGACTAATGGCATTGCCGACGACGCTTCCGGGTAACCAACCTCTTCTGAACACCCAAGGCAATATATAACGTACAATAATACACGTTTAGACGCATCTCGCTCGTGCTCCGCTTTATGTCTGGCTCAGCGTTGGGCGGGTCCGAACCATCGCGACTTCTGCGAAGGCATAATGATACTCAAGAGCCCGAGCACCCCGGCCCTCGTCGGTTTCTCGCACAACACAAGCGGTTGCGCCGGTATCTTGTCCTGCGGATAGCGTTCCAGTCTCTGCGTGCCTGACATACACTGCCTGCATAACACATACAGCGGTTAAGGCGGCGTTAGCGGTGGGGGCATCGACGAGAAGATCATAATTGAAGAAAAAGGCAAAGATGGCGCCGAAAACCACAGCTCTATTTATTTCGTGGAGCATAAACTCCGTTATCCAAGGTGATCGTGGTCGTAGACGTGACATTACCATGGTTTTTATTGACAGGCACTCAATGCATGGTCTAGCCACAGACGGGACTGTTGAGTTCATTCTTGGAAGCAGCGCGACTAGAATACCAGCAACAACATTTATGCTGCAAAGTCGCTCTACGATTCGAGCAAAGTGATATGTTTAGATGGGTCGGTCGTGGCGCATCGGTCAGAGATACGCTTGTTTGATCGCGCTGCGGATGATATCTTTCTCGCGCCTTGCGGGGTGATCTAGTCCTCGGAGCGCCGAGCAGCCTTCGCAAGCACACCAACGCCCAAGATGGAAACTGAGTAATATTCGATATTCAGTATCCATATTGGACGTTTGTGTGCTGACAAAATTTTCTTCCGACTTCGACGCTTCGGCCTTGAGACATTTTTAATAATCTTAGCCTCATCCTTCAAAAGCTTCGCCCCTGGCTTCCTGGTGTTCTCGGGCGCATCCAGCCCGCGCCACTTGACACGCAGAGATTAGTCGTCGAGCTCGTCGACGAGATGTCGGCCTTAAACATACGCGGCGTGTCCCTCGGGAACTTGCGTCACGTTGACAACTTTGGTGCGGTATATCTCGAGCCCGGAAATATGTTGGATGGACTCCGACCCATCGCCCGGGTCTTCGACCTTTGAGATGTCGTTGGGAAGGGCTTGGACAAAGCGTCATGGTCCGAGCCACTGCACTTGGGGCTTCGTCGATAAGACAATTGCAACCCGTCCAACCTGGACGTAGTCGCCGATCGTCAAGCGTAAGCCCTTGTAAGCCCTTGACATTGAGCTTGGCGTTACGCCGTTTGCGTTCAGCAGCCCGTGGCTTGTCGACGACCACCTTGGTCGCGCAATGAACCTCGTCTTGAGCTCGCGCCAGATCGCCGAAGAGCTTGGTTTAATTCCACTGTTCGTGATGCGCTTGCGACACTTCGATCATACCATAGTTGAAGAGTGTCGAGCACTTTGCCTGGTGGCAGCTCGGTCATCGCCGTGGGAGGGAGCCTCTTGGCGCATAGTTGACGTAATGTTGAAGCGCTGGCTTTAGCAACTGCCAGTTGTCCAACTGCATCTTTTGCATCTTGCTTCGCGCGTCATCGGCGCGGATAATCGCCGTTAGTTGCAGACCGCCTTGGTTACTGGTCACATGGTCGATCATCGCATGTTGAGGTCCTCCGTCGGGAGCGACTTCGCATACCATGCATCGTGAGCAGATGACGCCACGCTGTCCAAATCGAGAGCATGGACAATCGATCGCCTGACACCTCGATGGCCCGTTGCAGTCAATTACACTGGATTTGCGGCACCGTTGCATACTGTTGAGCAGCCTTGCCCACAAGCGCTTCGTCGCCCATTGCCACACGCTTCTCTTCACTATGGCTTCGCGTTCTTTCATGCGCTTGTTGTGAGCGAGCTCAGTCGGCGACTGCTGCGAGGTGTCCTCGACACAGCCGCGGTTGTCAGCCATTCGGAGACATATCCTGACTCCTCTGACTTGAAGGTAGACTTGACAGACAACGACACATTATCGTCGCTTTTCGCCGACAGCGCGAGCGGTTCCGCCTAAACGCATTGCTCCGTTGTGGTATAGACGATTGTGCAACTCTTCGGGAGCCCCGGTCGATTACCGTTCGACTCGCTCGGGAAGTTGCTGGTCGACAACGCCTTATAATCGCACAAAAGCGGGCGCCAATCGGGTGTTCTTGTCCTGGTGCACAACACTTCAAGGGACTTGCACCGGAAGCGTGTCGTCAGCATCATAGCCTCAACGCCGCAAGATAACTCACGATTCCTTTCACCTGGCGCGCACTGGCAGACTTCATCCATCGTGGTGGTGTCGCCACTAACACCTCCATCATTGAAGCAGACTGGTATCGTCTTCCTCGGTCGCTTGGAAGCAGCCTCGCGGCACCGTCATACGGCTGTTGTTGATGGTCCCAAAGTCGTTGGGCACCACAAGCTTCTCGTCGATCGATTGAACATCGGCCTTAACGTCTTGCCACGATCGATGCTCCTTGGGCAGCGTCGTACTCGTCGCTGCTTGACAGCACAACACCGGATACTCACAGGCGCCCTTCGACAGCGACTGCTGCGCATCCGTCGCCACCTGCGTGGGGACCCACTAAAGACCTTGCCGACGATCGTCATCATCCATGGCCTTGTCACTTGCTCCTTGCTGCCAACCACGCCTTGGTCTGCAGTCGGATCGGGCTGCTCGGTCATCCGAGCATTCACGACGTTGCCCACGAGTCCTTACCTCTTGCAGCTGGACTCCGACAGGCTGATCGTCATGTCGATGATCATGTCTGCGGGCGAGCCACGTAAAGCTGGCGCCACTTGGACACGAGGATCGTCTTCCGAGTTGATCGCCGAAGAAGAGTCTTTGAACTGGGTGCTGACCATCTCCAGAAGTTGAATTGGCTGTTGCAATGACTTCAAGTCGGGTCTAGCTTGGGTGACTGGCGCCTCGTTGATTTGTTCAACGGGTTACAAACGAGGGACGAGGACAACTGTGCAGCTACGTTAACGATGTCACTATTACATACAAGGCTTTTTACGGCGGGTTGACGAGAAAACCACCACCATAGCACACGTACACATCGACCACCTCGACACGTGTCAGGTCATGACGGACATTGGTCGCCGCCAGAGGCGACTCGTCCTACTGCTAGCGCTCCTTGAACACAACATTTTGCAGACCACACTACTGGATCGTCTCTGCAGGGCCCACGAAAGCGGCGCTTTCGACAACCTTAGATGAGGCATTCTCGGTTGACCTCGCCTTGCCACGCTCGGGCGGCCCTGCACTCCAACGCAGGCCCGCCTCTCCCCGGCTGCTGCGACATTTCGCTTGACCAGCTCCTCATCGGGCTTGAGACCATGTCGGCATCTTCCGAGCTCGACGCTGTAGTAGCCACATCGCTGCGCTTTGACGCCAGTTGAAAAAACTTCACGACGCCGTTAGTCCTCACCTGACCCAGGTCGTGCATTGTCATCTTGACATTTTCGCGTGGACTGCGCTGTCGGTTGCTGCCGCTGTTGCTGCTGACATCCAATGAGTCAGCAAGCTGATGAGCGTTGTCGGCACACAACACTCTGCAGCGACGTCGTCGTCGCGCTCCTTGACTTCGACTAAGGCCGAGTTTGCACATGAAGCCTTCGTCGAACGCAAAGCCTCGTTCTAGAACGTCGGATTCCTGGGACACCTCGGCTGTCCCAGCGCTGTTGACGTGCTGCTTGCCATTTTTGACACGCTCGACTGGGATGCCGTCTGCTGCGGTGACTTGAGGATTATCCTTGTTGAGCCGCCGTTCATTGCGCACCGCCTTCTTGACGGGTTCGCTTGAGGTCTTGCTCATTGCCACGGTTGTCGGCGAAGGAATCGCATCCCTGCCCCCGAGCTTGCTTCCATTGGCAAAGCTCGTAACTCGTGTTGACCTGGTTCGTCTGTCATTTGTGTAGCACCGACTCCTGCCGTTGGCACCGCGCGCCATCGGCACCGAGTTGCTGCTTGAGGTCGCCTCCTGGTGCGACGTCTTTGAGCATTCCTGCGCTCTTTACTGCCGCTGTCATCGCGAGACCGCGGCAAATTTTGACCCGCGAAGAGGACTCTGGGTCTTGGGGCGACGCTTCCTTGCGTCTCAAAGCAGTCCCGACGTGACCCGGTGCGTCCCCGCTACGATATGCGACCTCAGCTGCCTTGCCGACGGTGCACCCCCGATGCGACACCTCGTCGCATCGCTTGCTCGTCTTCTTGTCGAGCTTTTTCTTTCTGACCTTGATCGAATGGTGTGCGTTGTTGTCGTGCCCCTTGCTCTCATGAGCTGCCTCAGCCACGGACGTAATCGCACAAGTAGTTTCCATGACCGACTGCTTCTTCAGGACACTAGCTGGCCTCAAAGTACTCAAGCGCGCCCTTTGGTTCGTTCTCCTTGAACGCATTGACCGTCGTCGTCTCGCACTCGGCCGTCATCGTGCCAATCTTGCCCTCGTCATCATTGCGCGCCTCGCCCTTCGGGACTTGAGCCGCGTCGACTGCCGTGCCATCACTTCCTGGACCAGCTGCGGTGCAATGTTGCTGCAGGCTGCACATGGTCGGCCACCAAAATCGGCAACTGACGATCTTGACGCTGTGCCTCTTCCACCAACGATGTGCACTGTGCCTGCTGACCATGAACTTGTACTCGGTCTTGGGGGACATGAGCGGCCATCTTGTCTTCTACGTGGAGTGTGCTCCACACGTCCTTGATGAAGTCGCAGTCGATGAGGACGCGGCGGTACGTCTCGAGTTCGGGGCAGAAGAGACAGGCTTGGTCGGCCCTGTCGAGCCAGTTCAAATGTGCGCGGAACTTGACCGCGCGGAGCATCACTTGGTAGACGAAGTCGGCGTACTCGGATAATATGGCGTCGGGTAGCCGGAGCTCGGCTGCGGCTGCTATGGCAGCAGGCGTCGCGTAGAAGTCTTCATCGACGCCCAGATGACGGGTCGGAAGCTGCAAGCGCGTCCTTGGCGAGGCACGACGTCGGCGGGTTTCTGCGGACGTCGTCAGGGTCAACGGCAACCTTGTGTAGTCGAACCAGCCATGGCGACTTGGGAGTCGGGCTTGGCACGGGGTGATACGTGAAGGCGTCTACTGTCGTAGCGAGCCAGCGGAGCAGCCACTTGTCGTTTGGTGTCGCGTGTGGGCCGAGGTCACGGCTGCGGCACTTTGCCGTCACCACTTGGATGAGGCGTTGAGTCGTTGTCGCGAGCATCTCCTTCGAGGCAACAGCGAGCATCAAGGCTGCTTGCTGCAGCCTCGATGGAGACGCTGTTGGGCTTGGGTGATCCCGATCTTGGCCATCGTCCGTGTACCGAGTGTGCCATCTTGTAGTCTTTTCCATGTAAATACATCTAACTACAGTGAGAAACGGGTTAGACCAAAGCGGTTGTTAATGGACCAGCGGCGACGGCGCCGAAGGCATACGCAGCCCCACGCGAATGTCGAACCAGTACTTGAGCATGAACTTGAACCGGTCGGGCACTGCATTTGACGTAAGCAGACGCCGTATCTGGGGTAGCGACGGGTCTGCGAAGGTGAGGTCGGCAAAGTTGTCCCACGGCGCGTAGGTGTTGGCAACAACAGCCATGCTTGCCGACGACCAGGCCGAGACCGGGGACGTCGTGGGCGCGGCCTGCATGTAGCGTAGCGAGTGGCCACGGTGACGCGCTGACCACGTAACAAGCGCCGGCTTGAGGCCGAGGCCCGCTTGATGTTTTAGCGCGAAGACGATACTTTGTTGGAGGAGCCGGTGGCCTTGCGCCGATGACGGGCGACTCGCCGTTGATGAGCGGGAGGATCATTTTGTCGATGATTGCGGCCGTCGGGGTATCCGGTGCGACCCACGCGAGCTGGTACCAGAGGACCGGTGGGCAAACCGCTTGCAATATGGTGGCCTTGCCGGCCAAGGTTGTCGACTTGTGTCGCCAGAAGAGCAACCGGTCGCGCAGGCGACTCAGTGTGTAGTCGCAGTGAGCGTTTCGCGGCAGGTTCGGACCTACAAAAATGCCGAGCGCATTGGTCGGCTTCGACGGCTGAACTAGCTGCAGCGTCGGCAGGTTTGGCATAGGCGAGTGCGTGAGAACTTGCGTCTTGTCTCGGTTCAGCTAAAATCCCGAGAGGCTGCACAAGTGGTCTACGAGCACAAGGAGCCGTTATATCGTTCCGCTAGGAACTCATCCAGGATCGAGCGAGCGAGGATGCATTGGAGTAGTATCGTCACGATTAGGATAGTTCATGCACTAGTTGTCATCGATCTGCATCACGTTGTTGAGCTTCACTGCAAAGTCTTGCAGGTCGTTGCTACACTCCAGTGGTCGACACCGTTGTGTTTATAACTAGGGTACCCAAGAAACGTGGTGTACAACCACTTGCTTGTGGAGATAAAGGTCGATCCTGAGCTTCACCAACACATCGTTCATCCCAAAACCTCTTTTCCTTCTTCGACCACGTTAATGACTGCAAAAGCTACTTCAAACTGGGCAAGTTGGCCGGGCTAGCAGCTAAATGTGGACCAGCAAGCGCAACTCACCCATGTGGTCCATGGAATAGCTTTTATACCTACGGCTGCCCTAAGCTGGGACTGGTCCAAGGTAATGAATTCAAGGTCTGACATATTTCTCTTGAACTGCTCGACAAACTTATATAGGAACATTGATTCAAATCGCAGATCAATATCCAACAGACAAGACACACGAAGCATTCCGACAGTCGCGCAGTTTTTCTCTCCGGCTGCTGTCGTGTCAGCAAGAGCGATCTCCTTTTCTGCCCTTGCTCTTCCTATCTTGAGTAGGTATGTTTGCTTCTGCTTGGACGTGCGATCTTTGCGCAAGCTCCGCTTTTTCTCTTCGTGGCTCTTCGCTGATATTAATCTGTGCTGGTCTTGTAACTCGCGGACACGTTTGGTGACGATTTTCGAGATTCTGCACAAGCGTCTCGTTCGGCCGGCAGCTTGTATCTAGCGATAGTGCTGCAGTTCAGCACTAGTAGTTGTCTGATCACTTAAAGGGAATGATGCGATTCTTCGCTGTGCGAGAAATCACTCGGTGTACAAATCATCGTGTATTGTCGTTTGGAGGCGTTGTACATCCCGAGCCGACGTCAACACAGCGATAACAATTTCTCCTCTAGTAGCAATAAGCCAGTCGTCATCGTCACTGAGATAGCCTCTCGTGACTAATTATATCCGAAGTCGTGAACACTGCTGCTACACCACATAGTATACTAGTACTTGTATACCAGATCGAAAGCATTTCACTCGAAAGTACACTATTTCCGAGAGATCTAGATCCGCCATGAACCAATCAGCGGCGTCGGTATCCAACCGGCACGAAGAGGCGGCTTTGCGATGCGGCAGTTCCTGCCCTCGATGTCTGACGACGGCGCATCTCGCATCGCTTGGCTGGCCGATCAGGCCGAAAAACTCCAAAATAGCGTCGTAAATGTTCACCAAGGGCTCTCGCTGGCGCCGTCATTGTACTTCAGCACTCGCCGATGCACGTATAGCGACGTCGTCTCGATCGTCACGACCGTGCGCACACAGTCACAGATCACATCGGCGCAACAGAGCCACGCAAGACGTCACAACCATGCAGACACCTTCAACGACCCACTCTATGTCAACCCTCTCCAAAACGACCGTGACCGCGACCTCGACAACCACGAGGTAATTCGTTCTGTTGCGTGGACTTGACGTCTATTGAAGAATGCTGTAGCGCTACCGCAAAGCTCTCTCGTTCGAGAGATCTGTCTTCATGTCCAAGCTTGATTCACACCGCCATACCCGTCATGAGGTGGTGCAAATGCTTTTTTATAAGTGGCTCACCAGCGGCTTTTACGTAGCTCGAGTACAAGGCCGCATGTACGATTCAGCGCACGCAGCGTGGTCATGCGCTCCGAAAGAACCTCGACCGACTCAAGAAGACTCTTGTTATTCGAAACAAGTACGCGTCGCGATGAAGGACGTGACGTACGGCACTGGCATCATACTCGAGGAGAAGGACCGCACCCGAGCGCGATTCCACGAGTGCACGACTGCAGCAGTGCGCATACAGCGTATCTTTCGCCAGCGTCTCGCACTTGCCATTCGCCGCAAGGAGGCGCGAATGGTAACCGAAGAGCTCCTCAACGACTGCGCGCGCGTGATCCAATCCTACGTCCGGCAGCGCCTAGCCCGCTGCTACGTGCGCAAAATCCGGCTTCGGCACTACGAGCTACTGTGTCTTCGCCTCGCGCTGCTCGTACAGCGACTCTACCGAGGGTACATTGCGAGTGGCGTTCTTCGCATGCGCCGTTACTGTGTTCAGACCGCGGCAACACGTATTCTCCAGAATGCCACTACGTGCATGCTTGCGACCAAAGCGCTGCGACTCCAAGCCAGCCGAACGCAGAAGGCACAAAATGATTACGCCGCCATCTTCCTACAACGCTGGATGCGTGGTTTCACGAGTCGGGCACGTGTCTCGCGCCTTCGTGCGCTTGAGCGTCAGAGTATCGTTGTCGCGGCCAGCTTACTAATCCAGCGCGTCTACCGCGGACACCTCGGTCGGCGTCGGAGTGCACGCCGCGGGGCATGGCGCGCTGCCGAAAACCAGTTGTTGGCCTCGATGGCGATTGCTCGAGCTATTTCGGGCTTTCTTGGGCGCTGTCGAGCGCGCACATTGCGCCTCGAGCAGCAAGTCGACGTTTTTATTCAAGCGCGGCGTGGCAACCAAGAGGCAGTCGTCGACTTGCTCGACGGTCTTGGTATCGAGGCGCCTTTAGACCCGAACGGCATAGATCACAACGGTACCGACGCGCGTTGAGTGACATTTTCTTAATCTTGCTGGCGTAGGAAACACGGTGCTTTGCATCGCAAGTCGCTTTGGGCACTTGTCTATTGTGCGGTCTCTGATTGCCCGCGTCCGACTCGACGCTGCGAATCATCTCCAAATGACGCCAATCATGCTGGCCGTGCACCATGGCCACGCCGACGTGGCTGATTACTTGCTCACAAAAAACCCAGAGCTCGTCACAACGGGACGAACTGTTTTGCACGACGCAGCGCGCAATGGGATGCTAACAACCGTTGAGCAGCTCTTGCTTCACGGTCTAAGTGGTACAACCCAAGACGCAGAGTGGCGACGAACGCCGCTGCACGAAGCTGTCCGAGGCGGCAACCTTGCGACGGTGCAATTTATCCTTGACCATTGCCCAAAGGCCACTGTACGCTCTCGGCATTCGGAAACTGCTGGTTCTAAGAGTAGTAGGTCAACTACCAAGATCTGCATGGTGCGACCGTTCTACATTACGCCGCCCGTACCGGCAGCCTCGAGATGGTTATCGCACTACTATGCGCAGGTACAATCACGAACTTCTTCTCGCCGCCATAATCTCACGCATCGTGATGGATCGCAGGTGCGGATGTGAGCATCTTAGACGGTCATGGCCAAACAGCGTGGCGGGTCGCGCTCTCTTGTGGTCACGATGCCGTCGCCAGCGAGATCCGGAAGCGCTGGAGTCTCACGGATGAGCACGAGGACACCGACACAATAGACGATCTCAACGATGATGAGGCTGCGCTGACGCCAGCGCAGCGCGTCGCTGCGGCTCTGGAGGGTCCGCTACGCAACCTCGAGCACCTTCTGGAAATGGGCATTGACATCAACGAGCGCGACACGAGCGATGGGCGCACGATGCTCATGAAAGCATCAATGAAAGGGTTCACGACGGTGGTTCGGTTTTGCCTCCAACGCGGCGCGACCATCGACGAGATCGACAACGCGGGGCGAACGGCCCTCCTCCACAGTGCCCCTCACAGTGACGTAGCCCTATACCTTCTTTCCCACGGTGCAAACATCTTGCACCAAGACGATGGGTGTGCTTCGTACTCCTTCAGCTCTATGGTTCTAGTATCGTTGACGTAGAGGTCGCACTGTCCTGCACGAAGCCGCTAGTCATGGCTATACCTTCAGCGAGATCATTGCCGTGCGCCATATCCATGTCGATATCAAGGACAATGCTGGGTACTCCATATCCCGAATCATACCATTGAGAAGACCGTCTTCCCTACAATAGGTTGACACCACTGCACGACGCTGCCAAGGTCGGCAGTGCCGTGGGGGCCAAGAAGCTGCTGAATCTTGGCGCGCGTGTGAGCTGCGTTGACTTGGACGACCAAACACCGATTCACTACGCCGCTATGCACCCATCACCCGCGGTGCTTCGAGTCCTCTTGCGAGCAGAGGCACGCGCAGCTTTTCTACGAGACCAACGCGGGCGCTCGGCGGTGTTTGTTGCTATCGAGCGCGGTCACATTGCATGCGTCGAAATGCTTCGAGCGTTTGGCGTCACGCTCGACGAGACGGATCCACAGAACGCGACTTTGCTCCATGCCGCGATTGCGTCGCAACAAGACGTCTCTGTGGACTACCTCCTGGCGCAAGTTCCAGTCATTGAGTGCACGGAACCACTAAAGGGTTCCCTTGACACGCCACTGCACTTGGCGTGTCGAATGGGATACGTCTACGCAGTCGACAAGCTCCTGAGTTCTGCCGCGGATCCCCTCTCCACACGGGTAATCACCGCAGCAGATTTTTGCTATTGTGACTTACACACCACTATAGCTAAATGCTGTTGGCGACTCACCGCTCCAGACAGCTACCCGATGCGGTCGTGTCGATGTCATATCCACCTTTATATCACACGGCTTCGACTTGACTGTGACAGACCGTGAGACGGGTGCTTCGCTCCTACACGTCGCGGCTGAGATCGACACGGAGACTTTGGACCCGACTCTTGTGCCTCTGTTGGTCCACGCAGGAGTCTCGCTGACACTTTTTGACAAGAAAGGGTGGCAGCCACTACATATCGCAGCCACGCGCGCCAAAGGTTACCCTACCCTACCAGTCCATTGCTGTTCAAGTGAGTACGTAGGTGCGGGCGTTGTTCAAGCGCTTATCGCGGCCGGTGCTCCCGCCAACGGCGCCGCCAAGAATAACATGACGCCGTACCATTGCGCAGCCCAAATGGGTTTGTGCTTTCCTCATGCCACTACTCGGTCTTACCCAAAATTCTAGGCATTGGAGAAATCATAGCGATTTTCAAGGCGAATGGTGTGTCATAGTTGCGAGCCAACGAGTCATGCCACGCGAGTGATATAACTTAGCCAAAATAACTAGTGTACCATAGAACAAACGTTGCGTGTTTGCGTACAAGACGGTAGGTTACGTCTGCACCCTGAGAAGCCCGGTAAACGCATAGGCATCCATGGCCATTCACGCATGAAAAGTGAACTGGCTCACGTGGTTGACCACGATATTTTCTGTGCTATCGAGCTGGAGCTGTTTGATTGCCTTCTTATAGCCGGGCGTACTTGCACCTCCGGCCTTCGCGATGAGCTTGTTAATCATCATCAAGAGCGCACCTTCAGGAACCGCCTCGACCATGTGCTCGTCCAGAAGGTCCCAGGTGCTCGTGCATTGCTCGAGGAATCCAGGGGGATGGAACGAAGTACGCACATCGCTCCAAAGCTCTTTTCAGAGCTCTTCCCTTGGCGGTCGCATTGCATAGCAGCTCGTACTTATACAGCTCCCTATCACACGACATGTCGTCGAACGCAACGATCATGAACTTGGAATGAGCGACTTTTGTAACCATGAGGACGCCACCACTTGCATGCTACCTTGTCGTCAACGTCGTTGACGCCCGTCCTCGTCGTCTCACTCCATCACCACCGGTCGCCACCTTGGTACCGTGGTCTCAAAATATGTTGGTCAGCTAACCGAGTAACGTTGACTTTGTGACCGATTCCATAGCTTAGCTGCCACTTTGCGTTCTGCTTTGTAGTAGGTACACTAGCCGGTGTTCAGGGAGGGCGTACTCATTGAACACTACAGTGTACTGACTGCTGCCAAAGGCTCTACAGTCCCACATCAACGGGGTTTTCCCGTAGAACGAAACACGCAAACACACATCGCCTTGTCGAGTGGTTTTGACGTGGGCTACAGTTGTAGGGTCCAACCCAGTACAGTAATGGCTCACTTACGGCCTGACGAAACACGCCAGGCAGACCGCGTCTCAAAACTAATGAATTTGGACGATCTTCCGCTTAGTGCATGGTCTCGTTGGAAGCAAATGTGGACCTCGTTGGATCCTGTGTGTAAAACGTCGATTGACACGATTCCCACCGTTATTTCCCACTGTGCAATCGCTTAACCGGCAGGTCCGTAAAACCCGCGAGAGTAACACTTGTAATGGGCGGCTATTTAATCATCGACAAATCATACAAAGGCCAAGATAATAGAATACAGAGACGGCCAAAAATCGAAGTCAATTGATGCTGACGTGTCTTCCAACCGTGGCGCAGCAATTTCTATTTTCTCATTTCACATTTTCGCCATCATGGTAGACGTCCCGCACATGTGCTCGCCAATGTATCTCATCCGCGCCCCTCTGTAGTCGTCGACCAGCAGCACGCCGAGCACCGCAGCTCCCTCCAGCGCCGCCGCCTTGCGCAAGTATGTCCTCTCCTCGCACTATACCCCGAGTCTAATGGCTTCTATTTAGCCGTCGCCCTGCCGCCAAGTCGTCGGCCAACACGGGCCGTGGCATGGGTGGTAGCTCCGCTGGTATCCTCCGCTTCTACACGGACGATGCCCCTGGCATTAAGATGGGCCCCACCACTGTGCTCGTGCTCTGCTTGATGTTCGTCGGCTTCGTCGTCTTGCTCCACGTCTGGGGCAAGTTCCGCAGCTAAACGCGACACCTCCACCGTGTTGGTGTAGTAGACCTTTATAGCTCGAATACGATTGTACCTCTATTTGTCTTTGCAATCTTGCACACTCTTCCATACCCCAACGGGTCGTAGCAGTACAGTGTAGTCGACTCCAAGACCACCGAACCGCGCGAGGATCGACTGCAAAAGGCCGCGAGGTGTGTTCACGGAGGCGGGCAGCACCAAGTTCAGTGCAGACGCAATTGTATTAGTCCGTGCGATAAGGAATGTTGGAATCCTCCAGGTACTTTTTGATGCTATCGTTGAGCTCCCCCGTGACCGAGACGGCGTAAATGCCTGGCACGAAGCGACCGATGCGGCGCCACTTGGCGACCCAGCTCTCGCGCGGCTGCATCATCGCAATCATGCCTTCAAAGTACGCGGTCGTGCAGTCCGTCACGCGCTGGCGGTTGTCCTGCATGTTGAGCACGGCGCAGTTGTCGCAGCCGCTCTCGTAGAACTGGCTATACGTCTTCACGAGGGAGCAGATCATGCACGCGCGCAGCTCGCGAAACGTCGTCGGGATCTCCGCATGGACCAGCCCACTGTCGTCGTCGTAGTCGTCACGGGCCATCGGCGCTCTCGTCTCAAGTGGGAGGTGGCCACGAAACGCTACGAGGCCGAGGTAACCGGATACCAATTCAGCACGTTATCCGGACAATGTGTTTGGGCCAGCTCTTTATCGTTGCAGATGCTATTCCATGCCTGCGAGATGCATGCGACGACGGTGCTCGTGGCCCCAGACCACATCCACATCTCCGTGGCCGACGCACGCTGGTCGCTGGTCATTGCTCGCCTCAAGAGCCACGTGACGCGTCGTTGGATTCCGTTTTTTCAATCTGGGCTCCAATTGTATCCGGACTCGTCCACCAACCGGATAGCGCTTGCGGTGGCAGGACCAAGGAAGAGACAAAATGGTGAGAGGATGCAAGCGGCGCAGGTGCTCATGCTGCGTAGGCCGCCGATCGTTACAACATCAACCGCCAGTGGGAGCACCTCCAGGCCAAGTACGTCGGTACTGGCCACGCCGACACGTCCAAGTTGTACGTCGCTCTGGGCGCTGTGGCCGTGGCCTCATCGTACTACGCGTAGCGAATGGGCCGTGAACCAGCACCGCGATACGCTCGCATCGCACATTGGCCACAACGACATGCTTACGTACTTCGCTGTCGCCGAGAACGAGTCGCTTGGTCGCGTTCGCTACACCATGCTCGAGGTACCAAAAGTGTGTGGGGCACGCATGGAGGCGACTTGTCGGTGTAGAAAATGCTCCAGCCGTGCGGCCCGCCGCCATTTAAAGAGGAAGAATGAAGTGAGCAGCTGCGCTATAAATCTGAGTCTATGATGAGCTTGCCAAGTCGCTGAACGGAACGTAGCGTTGCGTCACGGGGCGCTGTAGCGCCAGTGACTTGAAGCTAGAGACGGCGGACCGAACGGTCATGGCGTCGTCCTCGAGCTTTCGCTGCTGCTGTCCCACAACGTGGTGTAGCCGGTGCAAGAGAGTTCGTTTTTCTTGCAGCAATTCGTGCTGGGACTTGTGCTATAATGGCATGGTGCGTACGATATCGACGAGCAAAGACCGTACCACAAGCAGTGCTGCTTCGGTCAACGAGTTGTTAGACCTCACGGATTGCTGCTGCGCGGCAATCTTCCGACACACGTAACGATGGAATTCCTACCACTGCGCCATCAACAATGGCTCTCCGACACATCGTGTAGCGACGCACAACGTCTTGGACAGTCTCGGTGCGCGCATCGCAGGCTACTAGACAGACTTCGCGTGAGGCGCGCGATTGCTACGGATAGTACAAGCGTCGGACCACGAGCAGGCCGCCGGTGGTCTCCCCAGCGGTGACGCGGTGCATTGTTTTCGTCAGTGCTTGGGTCATTTCTACGGCGAGGCTCGCCCAAGGGGATGGCGACGTTTTTGGCCAGCACTTGCACAAGCCTTTTCACATGGTCCCGCTCGCGCTCGAAGCGCTTTTGGAGGCGCATCTTCTCGGCGGTCGATGTAGCCCGTGCAAGCTGTCGACTGCGGGTCGCCTCTTTCACTAGATCGTTCTGCAGCACCTAGACCCCGCGCATCGCAGGTGGTTGACCACGTCGTGTTAAGTGTACCTGGACCAGGTCGTTCATGCCGTCAATGAATTGTGCATGCCTATTTTTAAACCGAGTTATCAGCGTCTGAAAGCATCGATTGAACCGCCGGGCGTTGCGGCGTCAGTTTTGAAGCGACCGCAATGGCAGACGATGGCGACGCCAAGGGCATGATTGCGCAAGAAGAGCGTGAGCTCCGGCGCGTCTTCGACCACCTCGCGGGCTTTCGTCAGAAGAAAAAACTCGGTCAGAGTATCGCGACGCTTCGCGACCGAAAAGCACAGCTCGAGTTTGCCAATTCCAACTTTTCAAGCAACTCGGCGCCGATCTTTGACGCCGCTGGCAAGAAGATGACGCAACCCGAGATTGTTGCGGAGCTGCGGTCCGTCGAAGCCGACGTGGACGCGCACACCACGGAGCTAGCGGCGCTCAGCAGCGCGGCGGCGGCGACCTCGCGTGTTATCAAAAGCGAAGACCTCTACGATGCCATCAAGGCGCTCGGAAAGGTGTGCGCCAAGAAAGAGATTAGTGATATGATCTGGGAGGCTGATGAGAACCTCGATGGCGCTGTCGACTGGGAGGAGCTGCGGGGTATGTTCAACCGCAACCTTCTCGACAAGACCGAGCTGGAGCCCGTCAATTTATTCAACGTCGTGCAGTTCATGACGTACGACAAGAAGATGTGCGGTACGATTACCGCTGACGACACGATGGCGATCCTCTTTGCGCGCTACGGCCAAGCGCAACTCGAGACGAAGATGAAGACGCTCTTTGGCGACTCGGACGAGCTTTCGTTTGTCAACTATCTCGACCGCGTCGGAAAGCAGCGCAAGCCCAAGAAAGCTCCGGCATAAGAAGCGGTAGACGCTGGAAATACACTGCGTTGATTTCAATTATCTACTGCTTCGACGACGCAACGACTGTGGCGTACGGGATGTCTCCGCCAAAGATGTCCAGAGCACTCCCAATGGACAAGTCGACCTACGGACGTGGAGTGAAACCTCGCAAGTCTCGCGCGCAACGTACCTTGTTGTGGCCGAGACGTTCGACGAGACCCAAATCGTCCTAGTTGAAGAAACCACGTTAGTATCGATCCAGACAAGACACTTCGGGATATACCAGCGAGCGTGCACCACCCGCGTATGTCACGGGAATTGGCGACCATCGTCCGAGAAGGTCAACGAGCTCTTCCTGCGTTCGGTGAGGTTAACGACTTGGTACGTCCGTGTACAATTGAATTACCTGAATACCACAGCGCTTGCCTTCGACGTCGACCGCATGCACGAGATACTCGTCGCAGTACTGCGCCAGTTCACGCAAAAGCTCTTCACTACGCGATTTCGTTGCATCGTCGTCCACTCATCAGTGATGAAGCAACTATGCTGTACCTCAGGAAGACATCGGTAAAGACTTGCCAGCGGTCGGTCATGATATAGAAGCGGCCATCTTCCTTCTTGCGGCAACTCAAGTCCAAGACCTTTTTCATGTTCGAGAGAGAAAAAATTGTTGAGAGCCTACCACTCGGTCCTTGCCCGCGACGTCGCGAAGTTGCGCAAGTCGCGCCATGTCAATGTGGCCGTTCCGGAATACGTACGACGTCACGATGACATGGCTCGCGCCTGCGTCGAGGTACATACGCGCATTCTCGGCCGTGATGCCACCTACGTCGGAACGCATCGATGCAAGCACTCTGACGGCGTCACCGGATCGTACCGCCCACTTGCATGCCGTGCGGAAAGGCCGCCAGTGCACTCTTCGCCGCCGCCTCATTGGCCTCGCTGGCGCCAAGCATGATGATGTGGCCGCCGCGCAGACCGTCGCGCTGGTACATGCTATCGTCGTCATTCGTCTGCACACTGACCTATCATGGTGCATAATGCGTCGTACGTGGCATAATCCGCGGCGCTCAAAGTCGAGACGAAGTTGGTGACAGGGCCGGCGGCGTCCTGGCGGTCGGAGAGCGTTGAGCCCACGATCTGCTTGACGACGCCTGCGTGGATGTCGATGCAAGGCCGGAACTTCATTCACGCTGGGGCTTTGCGAATGAAGGGCAAAAGAAGATCTCGATCGTTGGCTCACGTCCGCAATCACATGCTCGCACTTTCTTCTGGCACCAACACGATTTCGGGTGCCTATCCCGAAACAGTGTAATACTACTCGAAATACTGTTTTCGTCGCCACGTTGCCATTCGGTTGACTCATTTCCATTTCCAAGTCCGAGACGATGGCGAAGAAAAGCTCGACGACGCAGGGGCAGCCGACGTGGTACATGCCGCAGCCGATGGACTCGCTCCTTGAGTACTGGGAGCGCCACTACCCGCTCAAGCTCTACAACAGCATGACACGCTCGAAGACGCCCTTCGTGCCCATGCAGAAGAAGTGCGTGACGTGGTACATGTGCGGCCCGACGGTCTACGACATTACGCACCTCGGTCATGGCCGCACGTACACGTGCTTCGACTACGTGCGCCGGATCCTCGAAGACTACTTTGGCTACGAGGTCAAGCTTGTCATGAACATCACGGACATTGATGACAAGATTATCGTGCGGTCGGCTGAGCACGGCTGGGCGGCCGCGCACCCAGGTCAGTCGCTGCCCGCGGCCAAGGATGAGGCCGCCAAGGTCGTCTTGCTGTGGGCGTCCGAACAAACGGCCGAGAGCAACATGAAGCGCGCTGAGGAACTCGCCAAGACGTTCGAGAAGACCTTCATGGACGACATGGCTGCGCTCAACATCAAGCCGCCGACTGTTCTCACGCGCGTCAGCGAGTACATGCCCGAAATTGTCGAGTTCATCGAAGGCATTATTGCCAACCGCTACGCGTACGAGAGCAATGGGTCGGTCTATTTCGATACGCAAGCCTTTGGCACCGCCAAGGGCAAGGCGTATGGCAAGCTCGTGCCTGAAAACGTCGGCCAGTCAGAGCTACTCGCTGAAGGCGAAGGTACATGCCTCGTCGTTGCTCATGGTTGTTGTGTATTGACTGTCGTGGACTGCGTAGGTGCGCTCTCGGTTGGCGCCAGCGACAAGCGTAACGCCAACGACTTCGCGCTGTGGAAGAAGTCCAAGAAGGGTGAGCCGTTCTGGGCAAGTCCGTGGGGCGAAGGCCGACCCGGGTACATGACATGCTCTTCTCGTGTTGTGTTCTGACCTGAAGGTGTTGATAGATGGCACATTGAGTGCTCGGCCATGGCCAGCGACGCGCTCAAGGACCTCGCGGGTGGCCGCATCGACATCCACACGGGTGGCATCGACCTGCGCTTCCCGCACCACGACAACGAAATTGCGCAGTCGGAGGCGTACTTCAACTTTGAGCAGTGGATCAACTACTTTGTCCACACGGGCCACCTCAACATTGAGGGCCTCAAGATGTCGAAGTCGCTCAAGAACTTTGTCAAGATCAACGAAGCGCTCGCGATGAACTCGCCGCGCCAGCTCCGGTTCCTCTTCCTCCTCCACAAGTACAACGTGCCGATGGACTACAACGACAACACTATGGATGAAGCCGTCGGCGTCGACTCGTTCTTCGCCAACTTTTTCCAGAACGTCAAGGTCGCGCTCCGCGAAATCAACGTCGACCAGACGCAAAAGTGGGGTGTCCACGAAAAGAAGCTTGGCGCCCGCACGCTCGAGATCAAGGAGAAGGTCCACGCCGCCCTCGCGGACGACCTCAACACGCCGCTTGCGCTCCAGTTGCTCCAAGAGCTTGCGAAGGAGGTGAACCGGTACCTCGCTCTCAACATCCCGCACGTCTCGATGTGCCTCCGCGCCGCAGCCGAGTACATTACGCACATGCTCCGCGTCTTTGGCCTCATTCCTGACGCCACCGACATTGGTTTCCCCCTCGGCGCGTCGGGCGATCAAGAAACTATTCTGACGCCTGTTCTCGACATCTTCGCCGAGTTTCGTGACCAGGTCCGTACCGCGGCCCTCAGCAAGGACCCGAACCTCGCCAAGCTGATCATGGAGCTCTGCGACTCGGTGCGCGACGCGAAGCTGCCGCATGCCGGCGTCCGCTTGGAGGACCGTGCGAACGCGTCGTCCGTGTGGAAGCTCGCCAATAAGGACGAGCTGCTCGAGGAGATCCGCCTCAAGGAAGAGGAGAAGAAGGCGAAGGAGCTCGCCAAGGCCCAGCGCATCGCCGACGAGCAGCGCAAGCTTGCAGAAGAGAAGGCTCGCGCCGGGGTGCACCCGAAGGACATGTTCAAGCTCCAGAAGGACAAGTATTCCGCCTTCAACGAAGCGGACGGTCTCCCGACGCACACGGTTGATGGCGAGCCGATCTCCAAGGGCGCTCTCAAGAAGCTCGCCAAGGAGCAAGAGAAGCAGAAGAAGCTTTTCGACAAGTACCACCAATAGGCAATTGTCGGTTCCGCTCTTCCGCCATGCATAATCCCATCTTCATTTTCGTTCTTCCCTGCTTGCATGTTGCCGCCACTACAGTACCTTTCCTGCGTCCTCTTCGGGCTTCGTGGCCCTGCTGCTGCTTGGGTGCTCCGTTGCCCCCTTTTGCGATGACCGGAAACGAGGCTGCATATCCGGACTCTGCTGGGTGCAGCCAATGGGCGCGCAGATGTATTTTATTACGAACGGTGGCCCCAGTATACAAATGTCCAAGTTGTAGAAAAGAAAGCAGCATCGCCGGCGCTGATTGGCCCGTCCGTTGGTTGGCTGGTACATCCGAATTCAATATTAAATTGCGCTCAGCGTTTGGCTGGTTCTCGTGTATTGCCCCAGTCGTGGGCTTTGTTTGTCGAAACCTCATTTTCATTGTCCCTTGAAAAACATGCCTAAGATCAGTCGCCACCGCAACTACCGCAAGACGTACCGTACGCCGACGCGCGCCTTCGGTAAGGAACGCCTCGACCAGGAACTCAAGCTCGTCGGTGAGTACGGTCTCCGCTGCAAGCGTGAGATCTGGCGCGTCCAGTTCACCTTGGCCAAGCTCCGTAAGGCTGCTCGCCAGCTCCTTACGCTCGACGCCAAGGACCCCAAGCGCTTGTTCGAAGGCCCCGCCCTCATGCGCCGCCTTAAGCGTTACGGCCTCCTCGCCGACGACGAGAACGAGCTCGATTTCGTCTTGCGCTTGAACATCCAGAAGCTCCTCGAGCGCCGTCTCCAGACCAAGGTCTTCAAGCAGGGTCTTGCCAAGAGCATCCACCACGCTCGTTGCTTGATCAAGCAGCGCCACATCCGCGTCGGCCGCCAGCTCGTCGATGTGCCCAGCTTCATGGTCCGCCTCGACTCGGAAAAGCACATTGACTTCTCGGTCACGTCGCCGTACGGCCAGGGCCGCCCCGGCCGTGTCGCCCGCAAGCGTGCTGCCCAGCGTGCTGCCGCCGCCAACGGCGGTGCTGAGGAAGACGACGAATAAACGCTTGATGCGACCTCCGTTGTTTTTGTAAAGGGCGATGACACGACGCATCGACTAGGGGCTTATTGTAATATACTGACCCGGTCCTTGTGATTGCATCTTATCGCCTTGCTCACGACAAGTCTCAGGTCCAGTTCACCGCAGGCCAGAGTAAGCCTGATCGTGAAGCCGTATTCCTCTCGGTTGCTTTCCTCGCCGTCCGTGCCTCGTATCCAGATCCGGTTATTACGCACTCGGTGTTACACCAAAGCCAAAGCATGTAAGGAACTGCGACCCCTGTGAGTGAGCTTACGCCTGCCCGTCATGTGGCCACGTCTAGGTCGCCGACTCACCCCATCAACAACTTCCTCCAGGTGCATCTTACTCCCAGCGTCTCTCGTCTTGGCTATCGTTTACGACGGCCCCTGGGTAGTACACCCGCGTGACGCTCAACACGGGGCCACAGCTTCCGCCGACGTCTATGCCTGATGGTCATGCGCAGTACTTGCTGGCGCGGGTATAACGTCTTCTTCCACTATCATATTTCGAACACGCTTTATAGGACGTCTTTCAATACAACTTTGACCGGGAGCGCACGCTAGTCGGAAGTGGCGGCCGTGGCCGTCGCAACTCGACCGACTCCGGCAGCGTCGCGTCGGAAGGCGACCGAAACGTAAGAGTCTGACCGACCAGGACTAGCCCATAGTGTGATTGTGATGCATTAAATCCAATGACATGCGCTCTTCGACTCACCCGCCTTGTCGTACCTAGAGCGCGATATCTCCGGCTGTTGCCCGCAGCCAAAGCGACGAGGACATGGCCGCTGCCATCGCTGCGACTCTTGAGCAGCACTAGATTGAAGAGTCTACTGATATTCACTTCAAACTATTTGATCGGACTAGCCTTGTGTGCCATGTTGTGGGCAAGCCAGTACCACGTGCCATAGTCGACGTAAATCTCGTCGTCAACAGCGATGGGTCGCGTGGCCCGCACAATGGCCTGGCAGAGCGCAGGGTCCTTCTCGAATATGACGTTGTGTACTCCCTTACTGCGGCTGAGTTGATGTAGCGCGCGGCGACGTTGGGTCGGGAGCGGGCGTCAACATAGACACCCTGCCCCAGGCGCATGAGGTAGGCCTTGTTCACCACATGAAGTGCCTCGCTTGTCGTAAGCATGTCGCCTGTGTACACACAGACAGCGTCCCCCGTGGTGAACGGCTTGGTTGCGAAGAGCCCATCACCAGCGTTGGGCAACCTGGACGGCCGCACCGCCAGCCCTTCCTCAATCATCATCAAATGGAAACGAGCAATAGAGAGCAAACGTGAACTTATTTAATGCTGGGTACCCTGGTCGCTAATGAGCGTGTCCACCATGGCTTCGACCTGGGCATCCGGGAGACCTTCCGAGTTCAGGATCGCATTCGTAATCAAAATTGTGTCATGGCACGACGACGAGTTGACCCACACAAGGCCGTTGAAGCCGGCGGCAACTTCGAACGGCATCGCCTTGCCCAGAGCGCTCAAAACGGCACAGTCGTCCTTCAGCAAGCTAACGACATCGTCCATCGTGAGCCTTTTCGCGCAGGACACAGATGCCCAATCAGTACCTCTTTGCGAGCCCGATCGAAGCCTTAAAGACGTAGCCGCCGTTGAGTTCGCCGTACAGAGCCAAGCCTGTCATCCAGTCCTTCTTCGTCATGTGGGATGGCGCTATAAAACAGTAGCGACTCAGTACACATAGCACGGTGTCCGTCGCACACCTTCGCACGTCAGCGCCGGCTCCAGATCTTGGTTCGTGCTGAGGACGCGGCAGTAGACGAGCGCGCCCGGCTGCAAGTTAGGGCGGTTGCGCTTGCTGGCACCGTCGAATGCAAGCATTCCCAGCGTTGCATACGACCTACGTCACTTGAGTTTTCGAGTATATGACAGGAATATCGTACGAGGCGCCAATGTCCAAGCGGTAGAACTCGGCGTTGCGGTCGACGACTAGGCCCACAACACCATCATCGACAGCGGGTACATACTAATGGCAGCAGATAAATGAGCGTGATGCATAAATAAAGCACAGAACGATCACGAGACGTACGCGCTTGTGGTTGTAGTCAAGCCAGTAGCGGTTGGGCGGGCGGTAGCGCAGCACTCCGGCGTTCGTACTCGTGATAGCGTTGCCGTTGGCGATGAGGCCGGCGCCGAGGCGCAGCTTCTGCGAGAGGTTGGCAATATGCTTGGTGACGTCGTCGCCCGGCAGGACGGTCACGGGCTTGAAGGCCAAGTCGATGCTCTTCTCGGTGCTCAAGAGGAACTCTTCGGCCATGCTGTTGTCGCTTCCGGAATCGAGGCAAAGATGATGCAATTGGTCGGGGCGGCTTGGGCGATCCGGATGCGATTATCCGGTTTTTCTACGGGGCCACCAGTGCTTCCAGAGGAGAATTGTTGGCCGTCGACGCAAAGATGAAGCCGATTTTCGGGAAGATTGTCAGCGACAAGATGCAGAAGAGCGTGCTCGTGGCCGTCACGCGCATCGTCAAGGACCCCAAGTACGGCAAGTACTACAAGAAGACCAAGAAGTTCATGGCCCACGACGAAGAGAACGCGTGCAACATCGGCGACATGGTGCGCCTGAGCCACACGCGCCCGCTCTCCAAGAACAAGCGCTGGAACGTAGACGAGATCTTACGCAAGGCCGAAATTTAGACATGTAGTAGCAGCCAACAACGCAGTGTATTTCTTTACTACGGCCTTGTCGTCGCCTTGACACGATGACACACTGTACGACGCTACGGGACCTACAGCAGCAGCTATATACAGCAAATTGACGACCTTGCCTCTAGCTCACGGAACTCGTGCGAGCATCATGAAATTGCATCGTCGCTAGCAAGTTGGCAGAGATTTGGTTGCCGCGTGCAAGCTTGATGTGCCACGAAGTGACTAGGGAAACATCGTGGGCCAAGACGTGCAAAGGCAATACGCGTTAGAATATCGGTGCAATCAAAGCTACTACGTCAGACTCTAAAACTCGTCGCTGTCCGAGAGGAGCTCGTCGTCGACCGGAAAGTCGCCGACTATGACGTTGTTGGGGCGAATGAAGCCGCCAAACTTCTCGGCGCAGTCAAAGTACCGCTTTCCCTTGGCACAGCCATTGCCTTTACCAACGGGCTCGTCGAAAACGACACCAACCCAATAGCTCTCGCCGGGGGCGCCTGCAAGCTCCGCGACGGTACCCACGAACGCGACTCGGCCGCGGCGACCGCCCGGTTTCACCTCACAGCGGTTGCCGATCTCGATACCCTTGACAGACTCAGCGTCACAGACAACATCGCTTCCTGCGCGGTTGGCCTTGGATGCTCCGGGAAGAACCTTTGGCTTCCAGTTCGGGTCCTTGGCAAGCTGCTCACGCTTGTAGTTGCGCACCGTGTTTTGGCCTACAGTGTATTTCCATCAGTGCCATTTACTGTGTGTACATCAGTGCATCGTACGCTTGTCATAGTCTTCCTCACTGATCTCGTACTTCTGCACGAGCGAGACGTCATCCAGGCCCCCGCCTTTCGAGAGCGAGAACGGGTCGTTGTCTTGAACGTGCAGCGTCATTCCATGCTGGACCGGGTAGTAGCCAAGTTTGCGGTTTTCGTCGTCAAGGATACCGACAGCCGACGACCCGTTCTTGAGGATTAGCGTCATGTAGTCGGGCTTCGTGCCGCAATGGCGGTAGATTTTTTCCTTCACTTCGCCGATCGTCGCATGCATGTCGAGCCGGATGTCGACGATCGAGCGCTGGAGGTGCGAGTGCGTGATGTGCACGCACACAAGACCGTCGGCGACGCCCGTGTACTCGTAGCCGTCCTTGGCCGTAATGTAGTTGCGCAGCGCCCGCAAGTCTTCAGCCATGGTACCGGAAACGCAAAATATCGATTGACTCCTTTCGCTCTTGTTCGGATACCCAGCCTCTTCCGGACGACGAGAGATCTTCCGATTTCGACGGCGCGTTGGGTGACGTCACGACGAAGCGTATCCAGAAGCAAATGAGCTTCTTAACTTAGTGCACCAGTAGTCAAGCAGGTTAATCGTAGAGGCGGCCGCGCCCAGACCGTGCCGTCTGCCGCTTACCGACGATGTAAAAAGCTTGACGAGGTTGGTCGAGTTCTGCCGAAAATCCCAGTCGTTTCACACTCAAGGCAGTCGTTACGCTTCCTCCAGTCTTTCATCCGCCTTGAGCATGCACGGGTTGTTGGCTGTCGTCCTCGCGCTCATCGCCGTTGTGGCCGATGGCGCGATCATCTCGGGCCTCTGCAACGACAAGAACACGTCGACACCGCTCGTCAAAGGAGACCAAACGTACATCTGCATCAACGTCAACGACATGTACCGCGCCGTCTTCACGCCGACCGTTGACGACTATGTGCAGCTCCGCATGTACAACTGTAGGCACCGACGCCTGCATGCGTGGACTATACTGTGGACTACATCGTAGCGTACTCGGACAACCGCATCGTGAACGCGAGCGCGGCCTCCTTCCTCACGCTCTCAAGCATGACGTCGCGCTCCGTTTACAAGCTGTACGCGGACGTGACAGGGCGCGCCTTTCCGACACTCACTGCGATTATCACTGTCGCCAATGGCATCGTACGCACGACCACGGCCGTACCGCCTGTGTAAACGCGAGAGTGTACTGTAGATCCAAGGCATCTCGTGGGACGATGGCTGCTACCTCTGCGATGCAGCATCGTGCATGTCCAACCTCTATGCCTCGCCCAAGCGACCGCTTCTCAACTCGGCTTTTGGCGACGGCAGCACGTGCTACATGAACCGCACAACGTGCACGGCCACGGACAACGCCTGCGACCTTGGCGTACATTCGCAACACGAACCGAAACAGCTTGATGAAGAATTGTTTGTAGATTTACGTGGGCTGGACAGGCACAGACTACAACGGCAACTACCTCAGCAGCGCTGGTACGTGACGAATCTGGGTGGGCCATATACAATGTTTACCAGGCATGCGGGTATCGCAATTCCAAGCCTTCTCTGTCAGCTCGTACGTCAGCGACCTGAAGAACAAACTCTCGACGCTCCTCCCTCGCTTCTAGTGACCTTAGTTCAACAGCGTCCATGGTTGTGTATTACATCATTCGTAAAGCATATATCCACATCAGCGACCTAGTACCGGTGTTCGGTGTCATCTTATTTGATGTAGTTGTGGATCGTCTCGTCGTTGTTGTCCTTCTCGAGGCAGGCGTCGAGGTTGTCCCACCACTGCGGCAGGAGCGTCTGCGAGATGAGCTTGAACCACGGCGAGATCAAGAGGCTCTTGTCATTGATGACGCTCTCGAGCTCATCGCGGGCGACGAGGCGGATCTCAGCGACCTCGTTCGGGTTGATGTTGACGTTGACGGCCGCGCGCACGAGGAGGATGTGGTCGACTTCGTACTCGCTCCAGTTTTCATCGTAAGGCGCGCGGTAGAGCACCTTGGTGATAAATTTGAACTGGCCCGTCGTGAACGTGTCAAGCGGGATGCCAAGCTCGTGCTCAAGCTTGCGAATGGCCGCGCGCTTGACACCGAGGTGCTCCTTCTCCTCCATTTCAGCCTCGAAGTGCAGCGGGTGGCTGCAGCAAGTGTTGGCCCAGAAGTCGGGGAACGTGATCTTCTCGGCCGCGCGCTTCTGGATCATGAGCTTGTTGTCCGGCGTGAAGAGGAAGACGGAGAACGCGCGGTGGAGCACGCCGTCCTTGTAATGCGAGTCCTTCTTGGAGATCGGGCCGAGGTTGCGGTCCGTCTCGTCGACCTGGATGCACATCTCCTCCATGAGCTTGACCTGCGTCTCGTCGGCGGCCGCGATCACTGCTTCAAAGGACGTCGAGACCATTGTCGTTGCACTCGTTATCACTGCGGAAAGGAAAGCCAAATGATGTCCAAGTGACTTGACGGCGACGGCAATCCCATTTGCTGCCACCCCTCCCCACCCCTACCCAAAATTGGCGATGAGCCCAGCATCTTTTTTGCGTCGCCCGAAGCGAGCGGCTTTCGACGACGACAATGCACGAAGCCACGTCAGCGCAGTCTTTCCCTTTATCGACCAAGAAAAGTAGTTTGTGAGCGTTTTCAAAGTCTTGGGCAGGTCTTGCCGTCGTCGTGATGCTGAGGCTACACTCCACATCCAGGTAGACGATAAATATAGAGCCTTCACATCCTCGTGGGTTGCAACCATGGGTACATAATATTGTGTGCCCCTGGTTGCAACGACCACTTTTTATATCCTGCACATCGTCTTGCTGTGCCTCAACGAGTGGCATAGGAGGCCGTAGGACGCACGCCATCTCGCTTGTAGCACGGCGGTCTCTTTTTCGTAGGCCCCCAGCATGCACATGCTGATGGTCCCCCCATTACGTTCTTGGCCCCCGCATCGCAGACGTCTGGTGCGTATTTTTTTGTTCCTCTCCAGCGCCTATCTTATCATTTGTATGACTGCTCGTGGCCATTAAAAGATATTTCAAAGAGTCCTAATTGTATGCCTAATTAGGCAACCCGTGTCGCATTGTCCTGATTTCACGTGGCACGGTTGCATAATCCCCGAGCCCTCCCGGCTCCCCCAATCACGCGAGACAGTGAGTTTGTGGTTATCGCCATGCCGTAATTAAACTTCGTTTGGTACGCCTAAGTGCGGCGCTCAACGCCGAGGAAGACGATCGAAGGTGCCTTAAGTGCGCCTGCGCCTGGGGCTTGTACAGCTCACTTTCATTTTCGAGTCGTACTGAAGATGTCGTTCGTCGCTTCGCTCTCCGCGCCCGCTCCCGTCGCCGGCTTCTCGCCCATGACCTCGGGCCGCCGCGCGCCCCTGGCCACGTCGGCCGCCAAGTGGGATGCCCGCTACTCGCACGCGGTGCCCCACGACGCTTCGTACTACGGCAAGTGCATGATCGGCGGTATCCTCTCGTGCGGCCTTACGCACACG